AGGAACTTAATACTGTGAAACTTTCAAGTAGGAACAATACAATTCTGTCAGCCCTGTTCCAAGGCTCTTCAAAATAAAGACTCTGCTAACTGGTTTTATCATCTCATCTGGGTGCACACAAGTAACATCAACAAGAATTTTAGGAGTGTTTTCTCTGAAAGCATATTTTGAGTTACCTGGAAACTCTTTTGTATTTGTCCTTTCCCCGAAAGGAGTCCAAAAAAGCACCTTGAATAAGCACCTTTCCCTCTAAGGTTTCTAAATAGTCTCACCAACGCTAGAGAGAGCTGTGATCCTCTTGTGAACAACTAACTATAGCAAACAGGGTAACAACAGTGCCTTTTCTGCACTGGAAGAACTTTAAATCAACCTTAAATCAAGATTGGATTTCACATCAGTTATGTCACTTGGTGAATCAAAACTGGTTCTAGGCTGCTCAATTAAACCAGAAATAAACAATTAAGTTACGGCTTAAAACACTTGAAACTGTGCATGGTAATTTAAATGGAAGGTGTCTGGAGCAGCAACAAGTCTGGAGAGAAACTCATTACTACAGGAATTTCCTTAACTATGAACTTTTCATGTTTGGTATTACAGAGATCTGGGGGCATTGCCCACATTTTCTTTACAAACACCTGTAGGATAGAAGCATCCAACACAACAAAAACAAGAAAAGAGACAGCACGCCAGTGGCATTAAATTGCTTTGCTCCAAGAAGTGTTAGGAGTTCACGATTATGTTTGCACTGCATCAGAGTGGCGAGTCTGAAGACTGTTAGAAGGACCAACTGTGTTACTGAGGAAGACAGTGAGATTCACTCGCAGTATTACTGGTTCGGTGGGGGAGAAAAAGGAACCACTTAACTGCTTTAAGTAAAAGAAGTTAAAATTTCACAGCTAGAGCAATTAAATTAGACTTAGGTGAAAAATTAAAATATAAGGATACTAACAAGCTTTTAGTGATTTGATTAAGAAAGGACTGCTTAAAGTTCAACAAATAATTAAAAAAATTATTATCAAAAAGTTAAACGGCAGTGATTTGAGGAGCTAATTTTTGTTTGATTTAGCAGTACCGAGCTAATGTTCTCTTGATTGCGTTTGACTCGCTCCATCTCTGGAGTGACCGGTGTGGGGGTGCCAGTCCCTAAGCCCTCTTTGTATAACACCTGTGAGGTACAAGAAATGTTCCAGAAAAAAAAAAAATAAAAAGCTCAACACAGGCAAAATCATTAAATCTGACTGTTTTGTAAATTATGTTTAGTGTTAGGATCACTTTTTTTTATTATTAATTTCACACTTGTTCTAGAACTGAATATTAAGGAAGTGGCTTGTGGTTGATTATTCTGTAAAAATAGGTAAGAGAGAATGGGTTAAGATAAACGAACATGGAACACCATGTTAATTTGATAGCTTACCTCCAGTTTGGGTTCTCAAAAGAAATGCACATAAAGTTGTAAATCACTCCAAAAAATTAAAGCACAAAAAGGCAAAATAAATGAGTTAAAAATACTGCCAGGGAGAAAAAAGGTGCAGTGTGAGATTCTAAACCACTGAAGAAAACTAGAAAATATGTTAGGATGTTACTATGCAAAAATAAGTTTGTTTGTTTGTAATACCGAGCTAATGTGTTCTTGATTGCGTTTGACTCTCTCTATTTCTGGAGTGACTGGTGTTGGGATACCTGTCCCTAGGTCCTCTTTGTACAATACCTGTAGAATACAAGCACCCAGAAAGGTGAGATGATAATAATCCTTCCACAAGAACTCAGTTACAGTACTTTTGGATAGGTTCTTCACCTGGTTTACAGGTAAATATAATCTGCAATTATATTAAATATGTGCACTATGTATTTGACTCAGCATTTTTTAAGTGCAGTCATCAACTTATCAAATTCCTGATAGGTCTTTTTAACATACTCAATTCAATGGATCATTTCATTACAGCAGGTCATAAACTTCAATATTATGCTGTGTGGAGTGAAAGTTTGTATCTTCTGCTCTTCGCTTTAGTTTAGAAAACTTAACTGTATTACTCCTCTGGTAGTTAACATTTCCAGGGCTTTGTTGTACTGTTAACAACCAAACCATTACGAAAACACCGTTCATTCATGTATTTGAACTACCTCCTGCTAAATCTAGATATTTAAGAGCTCTGTTCTCTGTTCACAGTAGCCATCAACACCAGCTGAGATTAAACCTTAAGTTCTGCAAGAATATTCTCTCTCCAAGTCCTGGATAAAAATGACAGCACTATTAAAAAAACATAAGGGATTTTCTAGAATGGAAGCAAGAAGATATAGCTGAGCAATTCAAACAGGTAAGTAAAAAAAGATATGCCACTACCGAGCTGATGTGCTTCTGGGTCTCCTTGACACGCTTCACTTCTGGGAGATCAGGAATTGGAGTTCCTTTTCCAATACTCTCCTTGTACTTAATCTACAAACGCAAAGATATTGGAAAAAATAAAAGGGTTAAATTAAAGCACAGTTGACAAATACATGGGTATCAAGTCACATGAATAAAGAAGCATAAGTCATTTACATGATACAAACTCATTGAAATCTGGGGTACTAAAGCAGGTCCTCTGATGGAAGGAAACCCATAAAGAAGCTACAAGAAGTATTGATATTATCACAGCACCTTTGGCTATCTTACAGTGTACTTGCTAGACATTTTTCCTACTGAATCTCATCCTCCAGCCTTTGGAAACTACCTCCTTCTAGCCCTGGACTCCCGAGATACCAGCTGGACAGTTAGCCAGGAATGTTCATCTAAAGCAGCAAGGAAGAGCTTCTTTGCTTTCTTGGTTTTAAAAAAGGAATATTACCCCATTTTTACAAAGCAATTTAACAATAACTGAGCTCAGAGTAAAAGAGCAGAGAATCTTGGTTGAGTCAGAATTTTTCAGCTGAAGCTCCAAATTTGGGTATCTAACCTCTCCCAGGATCATCACTTCAGCAAGCACAACTCCTGATCCCTAACAGCTGAGTCTCTTTGAGATATCTCACATTGTGATACCAACGATGAAAAATTATTCCTAAAAAACTTGGTCTAATGGCATAAAAAAGGCACCTTGATTCATATGTAGATACATAAAGATCATTATTGTCACTTCAAGAAGGCTGAAAAGATCTCACTAGCTTCAACACGAGCACACAGCTTCTATTAAAGTATTCCCATCATCTTTACAAGCAATCTGCTAATGAAACATGGTGTATATCACCATCCAACATAACAATAAAAACATTTAGTATCAGCACTATTTAAATTTCTACTTCTGCATAACACAAAAATAGCATTTCCCAAGAACATATTTAACAAACTGTGCATGAAACAACAATCTGAAATGTTAGTATCTTTTATGCTAAAATGATGTGAGCATTCAAAAAAAGCATGACAAGGATTTACAATTTTCAAATGAAAAATAATTCATACTTATCTCCTTATTCCAATTTTAGGGTATTAAAAGTTTCCTATAACATAAAGGTTTTACAAGAAATGTGCTAACTAAACTACATTTGGGATTAGAATTATGACAAAAACTTTAATGGTTTAGAAATGGATTAAGTAACAAATTCATTGTTAATCATTAGAAATAATATTTAATAATAATAATAATAGGAAAACTTAGAAAGTAACTCTTAGCTGGACAGATTATTGCCAAACCACATGAAAAAAAAAAGAAAGAGGTGAAAGAGTACATTATTTTAAGTTGAATTAGCATTGGTAAGAGTATTAAAAACCAGTGGTTTTGTACCGAGCTAATTGCATCCTGGGTTCGTTTAACTCTCTGCATCTCTGGTGTCTTTTCAATAGTAGTTCCAGTTCCAATATCTTCTTTATATAAAATCTTAATATTTAGAATCAAGACAACAATGTTAAGCACAAAACAGCATTATGTCTTCTAGAAAGTGAATACAGGCTCAAGACAGTGACATGTGCACAGTGGTATATTCTGAAAGCCGGCAAAGGAGATCACCTCTACTCCCTGCTTAGTAAGGCCAGTCAAGCTTATTTTGCCTACCTGAAGATTATCCTGCTACATAAGTGTCATTTGTGCAAAAAAGGGACTGATTGTATATTCTAGTAATAACAATACATTTGCAGACTAATTTTAAGATCGAAAAAACTAGCATTTGCTGTAGTTTTACTTTGTTCTTTTTCTAATTTGTTTGATAATTTACAAAAATTTCTTGTACTTACTGTGCTGAAGACACTAGTTGCAAAACAAAATAGCAAAACAAACATGAAATGCAAAACAAATCAGGACAGACAGTTTACTTCTCACTGAAATACGACATTTGCAGCACAGCAAGACTGCACTACCTGCAAAGCCACATGACAAAAGAAAGGTGGGTATCAGCAAAGCTCCTGTAAACACAGGACTGACTGTTTAACTGCCTCAAAGCTGTGTACATGTGAAAGAAGTCAATCTGGGCTCTCAGAGGGGGAGAAAAAAAGATAAAAAGATAAAAACAGGCAGGAAAAGTCAGGTATATCTCAATCTCCTTAGAATAAAATCAGCTTTGCTTGAAAAGTTCTTATACTCATTTAAGCAGGTGAAGAACCTAGTCACTAACAACATAAGAGCCTAAAATAATTATTTTATAAAACTTACTATTTTTTTTGAAATAAGCATTGAAAACAAAAAATAACAATACCGAGCTGAAATTCTTCTGATTTTCTTTCACACGCAGTATTTCCGGTGTGTCTTGGACCACTGTAACTTTTCCTTTACTGTTCTGCAGGTCCCACTGATACTGAAGCTGTTAAAAAAAAATAAAATACCAAATGTTGATTCTAGGCCATAAAATCTTACTCTTGGTGTTTTTTGTTTGTTTGTTTGAAGAAAAGCAAACAATTTACATATGTGAACAGATCATTTCAATATTTCTAATAGTGATGCAGCACAGTTGCAAGTATTCTCACTTAAACTAGCAATAGAAGATCCTTTATTAAATTCACTGAGAAATCCTGAAAGATGCCAGATGGTACCTAAAAGAATTAAGTGTCAACACTGAAAGCTAAAGATCTCAAGAAGGACTGTGGTGTAATTGTAATTGTTCATACTGACAATACGGTCTTGTAGGTAATCCCCCTGGCATCACTGGACAACCACTGTGAGTAGAATTTCTATTGTTAGCACAGGAATTGCCAAAGCACTGCAGCCAAAAAGAATGTTTTTTCAAAAACTCTCCTTATCTTTTTGTTTGCCTGTGTAACACATAATTAGGCTGCTGCATACATAGCAGACCTCTTGACTGAGAATCCCTGAGAATATAAAGCCTATCTGGGATTCAAGTGTGATACTGGGATCTTATTAAATTAAAAAAAAAAGCTGCAGATTTTTGCTATTTAATAGTGTTTATTATATTTATACGTACTGTGCTAAAGTTCTTTTGATTCTCACGGACTCTCTGCATTTCTGGTGTGTCTACAACAGGCACATAGTATGGCATGGTCCTTTCTGCATCTTCCTTATACTTTTTCTGATACAAAATAAAAAAAAATCATTACATTAATAAAAACAGTAATAAGAAACCTGGCATTACTCCCATCTCTATAGAAATGTGAGACTTCTGTGTTTGATATGAACTCAGGCTATATATCTTAAGCAACTGTTTATTTTAAATAGTTAATGTTATTAAGAGATAGGAAAATTCAGCTATATCTACTTAGAGCTAAATTAGCTTCAGTACTGTAAAATCAATGGGAATTATTATGCCATTTTATGTATATTAGAATGAATTAATAACACATCAAAGTTAATGTAAGAGACGCCCCACCACCGCTATAGGAAATTTGGTTTGCCACTATATGTTGTGACAGGTAGTCATTCAGATTTATTGAAGAAAAAAATGTGCCAAACTATTATCTGCAAATTTGTTCCCATGTGACCAATGATTAACTCTCATCACTCCGGTTACCTGGCTTGAAAGGTTCTTGACCTGCTGGGCATGAATAATCTCTGGAGTATCAACAACACTGGTGTAATTGGCTTTCTCCATTTCTGCCAATTGTTTGTACTTGATCTGTTGGAGAAAGCTCACATTTAGCTGCCTTACCCACATATATGACAACAATTTTTGTTTACACAGAAAAAATGTTAATGAATTATCTTAAAAATAAATTAAGACAACAGATACAACATAAGAGATATTTGCACGTACCTGGCTGGCAATGTCAGTGGCATTCTTTGCTCTCACAAAATCTGGTGTCTCTAAAGCCAGTTCTGTCAGACCTCTTCCTTTGATTTCCATTTCCAGTGCTTTTTTGTACTCTTTCTGCAAATGAAGAGAGCAAATAGATACTTTTAAAATATCAATAGAATGCCATCCTTTTGGCAACTTCAGATAGTCTCACAACACCATAAAACAGGAGTAATACTAATATAAACTCACAGTTAAGAACACATATAATGTCATTAAAGTGACTATTTTAATACTGAATTTTTTTCCTCCTATATACTAAAGAGTATGAAATGCATATTAAAAAGTGTGTCCCTTAAGACTCAAGAACAAACTGCACTCCTGTAGCAGTAAATGGAGACACTGCAGTAGTCTCTCTCCCAAAGGTGGGAATGATACCCACTAAGGTGTAAAAGACTTGTTTTGTATAAACTCGTGTAATTTATATCTCTCTAAGTAAGCTCTGCTGAACTAAGCTGAATATGTCTCCTTGTGGTAATAAAATTTCTGTGGTAATAAAAGCTCTTTGAATAATTCTAAAACACTCACAGCATTAGTAACTATAAAATGTTGTCAATCAGCATACTTCTCTTGAAGAGTATGTTGTTAACAGGCCATAATATCAGTAAGATTTAAAAAGTTACTTCTTCAGTTTTTGGCTTGATGAAGTTTGGCAAAAATATGAGCTAAGCTTAACCTTCAAAAATAGTCACTATGAAATATTTATTACACCAGTCCACTACACAAATAAAGCCCCTGCCAGGCTGCTACAGCAGCTTGGCACTTGTCAGTCCTGGGAGGGGAAGGGCCTCAAGCACGGCTGTGTTTCTGGCACAGCCATTTGCTCAAAGCTCCTGAGAAGAGCTCGCTGCATCCAGCCTATCTCCCACTCGCTGAAGCAGCCCGACTGGCTCCCTCATTCTGGTCTCTATCTGACCTCTCATTTCCTTCTTGTCTCCTCAACTTTGGTTACCAATTATTAGTAACTGCCATGACCTAGGACACTCAGCTTGCCCAACTGTCACCTTCAGTTCCTACCCTTAGCCTTGCTGCTGCGCTATCTTGATTTAGTTTATTCCTTGACTGATCTGGCTATTGATTACGGCACCTGATTTCTCTCTATATTCCTGACAGTGACATAAAATGTTACTGTACAGCCTGGAACTGTTCACTACAAGTTCAGGCTCCTTTTTTTAAGCTCAAGATTTTCTAGTGACCAGTTCATGTTAGTGTTATACTGTCATGTGCACTTATCGAGGGGAGGCTATTATATTCATTCAGATATGTTTCAAGCAGCTTTTGATCTACCTCATTTAGGATTTGGGTTGCATTCTTTGCTCTCAGCATATCTGGAGTCTCTTCTAAAGCTGTGAGACCTTTGCCTTTGACACCTTCCTCCAGATCCTTCCTATATTCTTTCTGCAGAAGAACAAGGGGAAAAAAAATGCAAACCCACACTAGATAGATAGAGTACTGCACACCGCAATTAGCAATAAAGAGTATTATATGGGATTATACACAAACTACAGAAACAGAACACAAGATAGTAAGAATTGTACTGTGTAAATTGAAAAGGCACACACACACACACACACACCCCACAATGGAACAGTTAGACTCACGGATGTCAGGAAGGGATACAGTAAAGATGAGTACAGGTAACGAACAATGAAATAAATGTCCACAACAAATTAGATCACCAGACAAAAATGTGTCAACATGCTTGATGTGAATGGTTAGGGTAAAGAAAGTGTGAAGAAGAAATGCTGCTGAGGATAATTAGTGAAATTATTTAATCTGACAGAGGAATTAAACACAGAGTAACTGCTACCTCGCTTGCTATTTTGGTTGCATATTTGACATGTAATAAGGATGGTGTAATCTCCAAGCCAGTAAGGTTTCTGCCCTTAATGGACTCTTCAAAGTCCCTCTTATATTCTTTCTAATGAGAGCAAGAAGAAGAAAAAAGCAAAATAGCAAATATTTATTACATTTTAACTTTTAGTTATGTGAAAAACTGTAGGGGGGATGAAAAAGAGCAGTAGTATTAATGTCACAGTGACAATCTGCTACAGTCAGTGCTGCAGACAGCTGAAAGAATAAAGTCCATGAAACAGATCATTGGCTCCAGTGGAAATATGAGCCTGCATTTCTGTATTATTTTTGCTTCTTTATATACATAGAGAAAACATTCAATGGAATCACTCAAACATAATGACTAAGAGTCTTATACAAGTGTATACGTTGACACGTATAAGTCTTCATCTGTGACAGAACAAGATAAAACTTCAAACAAACAGAAGATAACTTCTTGAGGAAATAGAATTGACAGTTCAGTGAGAACACCATGACAGCAGAGACAAACAGGTAATAAATGGCTTTCTCAAAACTAGAGTTTCCCAATGAAAACAACAACCCAGGTACTTACACTGATATCTAAAAAAATTTTCCAGGGACTTTTCCATAATATATTCTGTTGCAAGAGCTTAAGTGAAATGCATTTCAAATCACATTTCTTCTAAAGACTCAAAATTTTGCTTTAGCTTCATTTACTTACAGCTTTTTCAGGAAAAATTACAGAATATACATACTTCAGGGTTGCACAGGAAAAATTCATGAATTTTAAAAGTAACATTGCATAACTAATGTAAGGAAATATATGATGTAACATAGCAGTATTTTTTTTAGAGTCTACCATAGACTATACACAATAGTATAACTGCCTGTCTAAATCACTGTGAAAGTTTAAGCGTGATAAGTACCTTTCTAAAGTTTCTTCAGCCTAACAGTGGTTATTTTAATCTTACCTCACTCTGCATGAGCTGAGACTCTTTTGCAGTAAGGTATGTCGGAGTTTCGAAGTCCAACATAGGTTTTCCTTTTTCCTTCTCATACTTTTCTTTGTATTTTATCTGAGAAGAAAAGAAAAAGTTACCTCCCTGAATAATCAAAGAACAAATTCCTCAACTAGTATGAGCCTACTTGGGCTTACAGACCTCAAGTGGAAAATGAACTGCTTGTACCAGTTGTCTTTCCAAGATTCATATCAATTATTGTCAAGTGAAAAATCAAAGGACAGGCCTAATAAAATGTGTGTGGCCTCGATTCTACAAATTTATTTCCTTTTACAAAGGATTAACATTGTCAAATCAAATTTCAAAAAATAAGTGATCACAAGAAGGAAGACATGTAACCATAAAAATCTACCTCAAAGGCCCTCAGGCTGCTCGTGAGCCTGCCTGACCTCAGCCAGGTACACACCAGTGGATCACTAGAGTCTTAGCAGCAGATTTTGAAAAGATGCTTTTCACAGATTGTTACCTAATTCTGCACATTCGTGTCCAGGACATAAAATATCCACCAAAATGAAGATATTCTTGGTTCAATTTAGAGAGTACTTCCTCCAGGGAATGCATTTTAGATTGCTACATGTGGTAACACATTTGGTCTTCAGCTGAGGAGATGCAGATCTCAAAGCAGAGCAACAAGTGATGTCTTACACTACATACAAACTGATTAATGACCTTTTTCTGATTTTCCTTTACTATGCAACCTTTAGCTCTTCTGTGTCATACAGCAAAACAATAACTAGGGCACTTTGTGATCTACCAACATTTCTTCTCTTGCTGTATGGTCAAAAAATATCTGGAATAAAGAGACCAGTAGAGACCAAATCAAAGGATTGGTTTCTCTGGAATGGATTTGCTGTAATCCAGAGGAGAAAAATATTTGTAGACACATCTAACAGTAGGTAATGTTTTGGATTATTAGAGCAGTTAGAGCAATTTGGATTGTCATGGTAGCAGAAGAAAAGCAGCAGCAATGTTCTTTCTATCACTTGAGAACAAGATGAGTAAAACAATTGGAAATAGTCAACCACACTCCCGCTTTTTTCAGTCTCCATTTTCTGTGATTATTTTTCCTTTTTTTCTACAGATGAAATCATCGTGATAAATGTATTAAACAATGCAAAGACATATAGGTACAGCAAAAACAAATAACTTCACAACCTACTTCAGAGTGTGGAATCATACAGACTTTTTGTATGTGATCTTTAATAGCAAATAAGCAAATGTTTCTCCCTGATTTCTGTTCTCTCAGTTCTGCAGGCATGGAGATGGTTATATATAGGATAATTTGATAGGATGACTTCTGGGTTGGACACTTTGGTACTGAATAAGTGATGTTAGTGAGGAATGTGACCAACTTACTTGGCTCTGTAGTTCTGTTGCCTCCCTTAGATGAACCTGTTCAAGATTATCTGGCACCACATGGTAGTGACCCTTACTCTTCTCATATTGCTTCTTGTACTGGTACTGAAGGGAAGGTGTCAAAAATCATCTCAATAAAAAAAAAAGCTCAGAAAATCTGCTCCTTAGGTCCAATCAATGCAACACTTCAATGGATTATTAAAGAGAAATTAGAAATGAAAAAAATACCAAAAAAGGAAAAACAACAACAAAAACCAAACCAAAATAAGATTAACCCCCAAAATGAGAAATTCTTGAGAAACTCTTTCGAAATATATGAATGAAAACTTTTTTTCTGATTATTTCAAATGCAGCAAAGATTTTTCAAAACCAGAATTAAAAAAAATAGTAAAAAAGAAAACTCAGTAGAAACATGAAGAAGTTTGTCAAACAATAATGACATTTGTCTTTTCTCAATAAAATTACCAAACATTTTGTTAGGCATAATTCTGTACTATTATAACAAGGGGGATGTTAAACATTAAAAAAATAATAAAAACAAGAAAAAAAAGTTTTAAATCATAGTAAGCAGTAAAGAAAAAAGGAAAAAAATGTGAAAACCACTACTTGTTAGTGAGATGCAATCAGTTAAAAGATAACAAAGAATGACTCTATTAAAAATGATTAGAGGATTTAAAATATTAGCAGTGCTACAACTAATAAAGTTTTCACTGCCCAGAGGATAAATGTGACAAAGTTGCTAGTTGACTAGGAAGTACTCATTAGAAAGTAGAGGAAGAGATCACTACCAGGTGATGTCCCAGGAACAGTAAGAGAGGGAGTAGTTGTTACAGAAATAGTTAGCAGAGATCTGAATCAGTAAGAATGGAGAAAGCAAATGGATCTAGGGTTAGCTGAGGAGCTTACAGCACTGGCGAGCTGGCTTGTGTTCAGGACGTGGTTCATGATCAGCGACTCCGACATGTCCGTGACAGGCTTGTGAAGTTTCTTTAAATCTGCCTTATATTTCACCTGCAGGTTGGAAAGGGCAAACAATATTAGCAAAGATTTTTAATAAATCCTGGGATATATAACATAAAGAAAGCCTTCAGTAATAAAATCTGAAGTTTTTAACTTCCCCATGGGAAATGTATAAATAGACATACCTCACTAGCCATGTTGTGAGCATCTTTCATGGTCTTGTAGATTTTAGCCTCTTTTAAATCATACTTCGGCTTTTTACCCTTCTCTTTGGAGAAATTCTCCTTGTATTTAACCTAAATTCAAAAACGAATCAAGTATTACAATCAAGCATTACTCTTGAGCATTAACTTGTTTGCTTGCAGAAGGCAAAGAAACCTTGTTTGCTTGCAGAAGGCATGCTGACAGTAAGCAGAAGAACAAAGAAGCAGTAACTTGAGGGCATCCATTGGAATAAAACTGATTTTAAAGATCTCCTGACATGGAAGGAAAATCCACACCAGTATTTACAAAATACCACTTGCAATTTTTCATTCAGTGAACAGATAGCATCTCTTCGTTGCAAATATAGCAGCAGGCACAGTGAAGAGAATTATTTGGGCAAAATATTCCGACACTGAACCATGAAGATTTTTCGTTTGATGGGAATTGTGAATATATAAGAGGTTATTGTATTTTGCAAAGAGACGAACTGACACAAACATAAAGAGTATTGAAAAGAAAATCCTACACATCTCTTACACAAAACTAGCTTAAGACATATAAACATTAAAGACAGCAAACACACCAAATGCTTTTATACATATTGCTGCACATATATTGTATTCTGTATAAAGCAGAAATAAAGATGGTAATGTTCACACAGAATAATGATACAATTAATTATTAGGAATTAGGTTACACAAGAGGCTCAATAATGCTTCTGAACCACATCAGACTGACATCATCAAGATAAACCACAAACACAATTGTAAGTCAGGAAATTCAGGAGACATGGATTGGAGGCACAGAAACATTCACAGGAATGGGAGTTTTGCTAGTGACTGATAAATGAGGTCCCTCGTCCAACATGCCTAATCCCAGCACCCTGCTCCAGTGTTAGGGTTGCAGCTAAAGGTTCAGCTACAGCTAAAGGTTAATTCCTCAATGCTTCTTATAAACCTGCAGAAAGGACTATTCCACCAGGAACTTTCTTAACATTTTTTGTTTGTTTTGCAAACAGAGATTTGTGCAATTGTTTCAGAAGAGTGCAGGAGAAAAACAAAGAATTAAAGAAGATTTGGTCCTTAAAACTGTAGCCTTAAATTCTGGCTTGTCCAAATTTCTAAATTGAGCCCACAGCTAGCATGTAAACTCATCCCCATTAGAATTAGAGGGGACTTTTCAGAAAAAAAATTCTGAAAGTGTTTTTTGGGTTTTTTTTTTTTTTCTCCACATCTTCCCTGTAGTAGTATTCCAACTGTTATGGAACGAGGTGAGGCAATAACATCTCTTTCCACTTCCCAATAAACATTTCCTTGGAGAGGCTTTACCTAACAAAACTGGCAGTCTTCACCCCTGGCCTAAAGAACAAGAACCCAACAACTGTCATCAGTTTTTCTAAGACTCTGGTCTTGTTCAGAATCAAAATAATATTTTTAAAAAGCAAGCAAACAATATAAGACTGTGGCTGAAAAGAAAAGAATATGAATAGTTCTTCAGTAAAAATTATTTTCCCACACCATATTTACATTAAAATTGAAACAAAACACACCAAAGAACTAATAATTATTTTCAGGAACAACAGAACCATGCTACCATGCTACAGATTTTTAAATCATAATAAATTATAGGAACAGAAACATAAACAGAGAGTTTTTAGTTTTTTAAATTATGCTTGGATGCAGAGTTAAATCATTCCAAAAATCTTACACTTTGGAATCCATTGGCACACTCTTGTCCATATAGCACCATATCCCTGTTCAACACTATCCTTCTTTTGTTTTGCAAAATATGCCAAGATTCAGACAAAATAAAACATGTACTGAAGCAGTCAAGTCTAGAAATTATGTAACTGCTTAGTAAACAATTAATATTAAACATTTTTGGCATAAAGAGAATCAGTATTGATGCTAAGCTCACAAAAATAAAATTAAACATGCAATTAAAATTAGCTAGTATCTGTAAAGTTATGTGAGTGTAAGATCAAGATCAGATCATCATGCCAGAAGAAATATTACTGAAAGATCTGTACAAAATTAAAAGCAAGCATTGCAGACAGACAAGACACAACCAAAAATAGGTAAACAAATGAGACATAACGTTGCATAAAGACAAAAGATGTTGCTAGCCTGAGAAGAAATGTCAAGAAAAAAGAAGTTAAAGATTATATCATATTGTCTAACAACTAATTTTCTATCAAGACCTTCATAATCTTACCCAAACATGTTTAGAGTACTAAGAGGAGAACTGGCTAGCACCAGAACAAGAGAAGGCAGAGCTCATTATCACTGAATGAGAATGAACATCATTTTCTTCTTTTCTTGTACTTTATTTCTCTGGATGAAGTGCCAGTTTAAAAGTCCCTGCTTTCACTGAAAAAATATTTCTTGACAAATAGAGTAGCCTGCATTCAAACATGCAACAGTTGCATGCAGAAGTCGTGACTAGACACAGAGAAACAATAAAGTCCTTTTTTCATTTGGAAATACACGTGCAAGACAGAAATGGCACAAATCTGTCTATTGCTGCTTCATAAACTGCTATGTAGCCATAATTTCTCTGATTTGCATAGCTTTTGGGATGGGAAGGAATAAAAGAAAACATTGCCCTTAAATCACTATAGGACACACTGATGCTCCGGGACCGATGTGCTCATACACTGTGCTTCCACTATGCCACTCCAGCATGATATGAACAGAATAGCTTCAAATTCTAGTATGAGTTTCTGGCATAAGGTATGAATGGTCCCCGAAAATGACCTGCACCCTTGTTTAAGGATTGTCATACCAAAGCATATATTTCTAAAAGTCAAGCTTATTGGGTTGCTTTTGGTATCTTCATATGAAAGATGTGAGTTTTAATGCTGCATAGGGAACTTGGAATCAGAAACACTGCAAGCTCCAAGGCCACACTGAAGGCCAGAATAAAGTTTCAAGTTTCCTGTGCTGTTTTTGGAACAGAGTCCCACCCACAGAATTCCCATGCACTGTCTTTCCATAGGAAAAAAAGGTCATATAAAAACAAGCAGTCTCACAAATTTTGCTACATTCAACATCTTTGACACAAAAAGATCCAGTGCAACTGCTGCATCATAAAATCTTTTACGACTTGTAGTTATAAAGATAATATGCAAGAAAGAGAAAGATGCATGAAAATGGCATTGCCAGTTGTGTCACTTAATATATTTATCTTACATGACTACTTAGCATATTAGCTTTCTTAAAGGTTCTCATCCATGGTGTATCATAAGATGCAGCTCCATGCCCTCTCATGTGTCGTTTGAGGTATTCTGCCTATAATGTGCAGCAAGAAAGCAAGGTCAGAAATACAAACAAGTACAGGATTAAAGCATGAAGTGCTGAGAAAGAACCAAGCAGAACTGAGATCCTGGTGGAAAAACATAATCACAGGAAATAGCAACCATGTGCTTCACACTAACTGCAGATCAAGACTATTGTATAAAAGTAAACAAGATTATATTAATACAGCATGTTAATATTGAAATAGATTCTTCTTTTAAAGGCGAAGAGTAGAAAGTAAATGGCAAAAAGAAACTGAATGTCCACTGCATAAAGATGGATAGTAAGAGGTAGGCAAAATGCTGCTTCTTTGAAAGCCAATAGCCAGAAAGGGAAACAAAAGTGAACATAACTAACACCTCACCTTAGTATTTGAAAGATCTTGTCACAGTCTCATTTTAAGGAAATTCTGTACTTCCATTGCTGATATTTAATAAGCCAGTAGAAGAGCTATTAAACACTTCTAATATAAGAATATTTTATGCTTATATGTGTAAGTGCTGATTTTTATTTTACTTTTTTAAAAAATGCCATAGAAGTGAATAAGGAACAAATTTGTATCCATTTCACTACTGGAGACTATTCAAGTACATATACTTTCTACATATTAGCTCTTGCAACTCCCTAAAAATGCTCATAGTGGACATTGCAGAAGATTACAAATGACTTCTTAAGAAGATGAAAACAAAAGAAGATTTTAGAGGGAGCCTCACAACAGGATTTTTTTTCAGTGTGTTTCCATTTAAAATATTTCCATAACCCTTAATCTAGAAATAATTCCAATTATAATACTAATATCCTTCTATAGATTGATATAATGTCTCAGCCAATCTGAATTGATTACTTCCACTGTTTGCAAGCAATTTTATCTTATTACCTGGCTAGTTAGCTTTGACACCTCCTTTGCAAGTTCAATATCAGGACGTCCCAGCATGGTTACCCCTATGCCAGCTCCTCCACGCTTCTTATATTCAATCTAATACAGAAAAAACATTAAAAGAATATGGCTTAGTAGTGACCACATGGCTTTCTAAGTTCTTTTACTATTTGTAATACTAAAACTACTGCTAAGTAGTTATAGAAAAGATCAAAAAAAATCACTCACATCACTAATTAACTTGGCAGCGTGCGTTGCTTTTTTAATATCTGGCCGATCTGCTATGGGTGTGTAGTGGAGCTTGGATTTGGCATCTTTCTTGTATTCAACCTAAACCAGGATGACAGGGGAAAGCAGATTATTGACATCATGAGGAATGTAACTAAATAAGGACCAAACCGTGCTCATGGAAAAGTGCAATTTTTGCAAGACGTCTACAAATGAATAAGCACGTGTAATTCTCTGCATTTGGAAGGATCTGAAAGGAATTTAAAAAATTCTTAAATTTGATTTGCAATACATTACGTTAAATCTTATCATGTCATTAAATAGATATGATTTTCAAATAAATTCTTGTCTGTGCAATTTTACATCTGTAAACATTCACATCTGAACATAAAGGCTGTGAGAAAATCCCGGAGTAGGTAAGCTTGTGTTTGTTTCAGAATTTTACATCTGTAAACATTCACATCTTTGTCCTCCACAATTACCTCTGAACATAAAGGCTGTGATAAAATCCCAGAGTAGGTAAGCTTGTGTTTGTTTCACCTGATTTGATTTCAATTTGCTTGTACAAACTACTTAGTTAAAGCACAAGAAAGACTTACGGTACTCTGTTTCTTAGCCACTTCCATGGCATGTTTCACATCAGGAGGCTCCAGCATCACAGAATAGTCAGATCTGCCCTTCTCCTTCACAAACTTCTTTTTGTAATTTGTCTGTTGAGAGCAAAAAGAGCCATGTGTGATTTTGTTATTTCAAATCATTGTTATTGTTATTTCAATATTTCAATAGCTTCCCACAAAAATGGGATTAGGTCTTTAATAAAGTCTCCTGGCAGGGATTCATCTTTGCTGACTCCTTGGGCATTTTCATGATGAGACTATGCCACGTACTGTAAAGTACACAACAGTCTAAACAGTCAGAGGCATCAGCTAACAACGTCACCATAAATTATCACACTAACCACTTACCTCACTGACATTCTTGGTCACCTCTTTCACATGAGCAGTGTCTCGTGTCTCAGGCAGGGTTGTATAAGATCCACGTGGAAGCTGCTTCTTGCTATGTTCTTTGTATTTGTTCTGAAAGCACAGAAGGAAAATAGGTTAAAAAGAAACAATCCACACAAAATATTAAAAGGCTCTATGAAAATATGAAAAGGAGCGGGAGAGAGAGAGAGAGAGAGAGCGGGAGAGAGAGAAGATTAATGTCAAATGTTTTACCTCAGACACAAGAGAGCTGACATTCTTAGCCAGGAGGATCTGAGGTGTATCTGGAACAACGTGGTATGTTCCTCGAGCTTTGTTATGCTTCTCTTTGTATTTTATCTAGCAGAGAGAAAAGATATGTTAAGTAATAAGTATCTTGTCTTATGATAATCTGAAAAGAAATGACTAAGCTCTGACCGCTTGATAGAGCAAAAGTTAGCAGGAGATCCCACAATTTGATGTTTGTCAAGATTTTTTCAGACTATGTATTCCTATAGCTATCAAGTATAATTGCATTATATAATGAATATATGGCTAATAACTGTGAAACTTACAGAGATAAGATACTTACATCGCTTGCCAAGATGGCATTATTTAAAGCCAATACTGTGTTTTTGTCATCTGTGACAGACAGTTTGCATCCTTTTAGGAATTCACGGTCCAGTTTGTATTCGTACTGCAGGAAGATAAAATAGGTCACAACAAAAATGACACCAAACCTTTTTTTTCTCCTCCCTATTGCAAAAAGGGGAGAGCTTTCAGTTTGTTCTAATTTTCTTACATCACTCTGTTGTAGAGAGGACTTGGCTGCTTGCACAAAGTCAGGTCTATCAGCAATCCAGTGCCAATGAGCCTTGGCTGCTTCATATTTCTTCTTATAATCTAGCTGTTGATAGGGAAACAAGAAAAAATAAACTTACTTGAGGTTGTGTAATTTAAACACTTAATTTACACAGATGCAAATTTTCTTTTGGTCAGCACCAAATAAAGAGAAAAGAGGTGAAAAGAAGGAAAAAAAGGAAAAAAAAAATCTATCAGATTAGTGTTTTCCTTTGATTTATGACCAGTCCATTGGGAGTCTATTTGCTGTACATTTTTCCACTGGAATATGAGGAATGGAGAGGTCGTGGCTTTGTGAAAAGTGGGTGTTTTCAGTTCCATGCCTTATCATAGTGGACAAAAGACCATAGACAATAGAAGTGAGAGCTTCCTAAAAAAAAATTTGCTCTGTCTATAAGAACATCATAAGGAGAATTATATATAAGGTGGCAATTATATCTCTTGTTAGAGAAACAGAAAGGAGCTAGAAGAAGGGCAGATGTCTACATGACATACAGGAAACTTCTAGCAGTGTAAGGATTAGAAGGAATATACGTTCACTGAATTTCAGCAGAAATGAAAAATAATTTTGGTTGTTGTCTTTTGCTAGTACCAATCCAACAATGACAGCATTAATAAAACAAAACTCACATTGCTGTTTAGCTTGTAAGCATGCCTTGGAGTCTTAATATGAACTGAATCAGCTATGACATTGCAGTGAGATTTATTCCTCTCATACAGCTCCTTGTATTTCAGCTAAAGAAAGAAAAACATTAAAAAGTTTACAAAAATAATACATTAAAGTTACCACTGTAAAAAAGAAAAGCAGCAGATTATGAAAAAAATAGTATTAACTAATTTGCTCTTAATTGTCAAGATAGCATATTAACAGCAGAAAAAGAAATTCTAGCAACATATCTTGGTATCAATCATCTGCCTGAGAAAGTGGTCCTTTGCAGTGGTTCTTTTGGTCTACTGAGGTAAATCTCACCATGAAGTGTAGACTAAAATTTACTAACATCTCCAAATGTGCAGTGATTTTATCTATTTTGGGCACCCAATAAAAATAATTTAAAGATCTTATTTTCTGAGATCCACAGTCAATGCTTTTTGAAAATTCCTTTACAGATTCTCAAATCCCGCACTGAAATTTGGAACCAGAAAATGTACTTCAATTCACAGGTCATTTGTGAGGATCTTTGTCTCTTAGGACCCACATTAGCATCTGGACAATTTTGTTACTTTTTCTTCCTAGACTTATTCTTTATACAGATAATCAGTGCAGCATCTGAAGGGCTCACACTTCAAGGTGCTTACTCTCACAGTAATACTCTGATTTATTAAAGTGTCAATATCCTTATTTTATTTATGGAACTCTTAAGAACAATAATATTAATGTTACACAGAAAGTATAACTTCAAAAAAGGATTTAAGTCAAGAACTCCTAAGTCCCACAGCATTACTCTGTCTACTTCATTTTCCCTTTTTTTCCTCTTCTTACTGTTCCCTATTCCAGATACTTAATTATTCTGGAACACAGCACTTACCTTACATTTTCACAATGCCCACAGAAAAACTGAATGAACAGAGTAATCAATAAATTGTCTAAAACATGGCTCCACAAAAGCAATTAGTCAAAATAGGAGAGAAAACTCAGAGGCAGACCCCTCCAAAATCCTTGCTTTCATTAGATACCAGTTCTAGCTCACGGCTTTTATTGCTAGCAAAGTCTGCTCTCTTCCAGCAAAAATGTTCCAAAAGAAACAGCAGAACTTTACCTAATAAAACTTCCTAAATACTTCCAGGTTCTACTGCATTATTTAAAACGCATTAAATACATACGGAATTTTACATTAAAACACATTCCAGTAAGAATATAATTTATATTACAGCATTACATTATGGATTACACATCAAAGTAAAAAGTAAATCATGTGCCTTTTTGACATCATAGCTAAGGGTGGTTTACTTACATCACTTATTCTGTCCTTGACCTTGCGCACGTGCAATAACATAGGTGTATCGTGGATCGTAGTATAGCCTTTAGGTTTTGCTTTGTTATATTCCAACTTGTAAATAATCTGAAGATACAAAATTATTAGATCAAATTATTACTTGTTAGTGTTGGTGTAAATTGAAAAAATCAGGATGAGAAATATTTTATAATTGACTATGGAAATGTCCTATTGTAAAGTGCTGTACTTGAAAGGTGAGAATTCCCCGAATTCGCGAGGCGCTGACCACACTTACATCACTGATCTGTTTGTTCACTTTCGTAGTCCGTAAGTGCTCTGGAGTGTCCACAACTGTAGTATATTTGTCTTTCTTCTTTTCATATTCCTTTTTATATTCAATCTGGTAATAAGCAATTAGAGTAAGTTAACCACACCAACCAAGACAGAGAGACGTACTTTTGAAACACGACTTCATGAGATATGTTTCTAATAAGACATCAAGTTGCAAAATACTTCCACCAAAGTTTCCAATGAAACCTGAACATGCACAACAAGCCAGACTTTGTAAATCCCCTATTTGCCTTAGAGGCTACCTATCTATTTGTGTGACTAGTTTTAGTGTCAGCTTCATTGAATGTAAAAACTTCACTTCTATTCTAAATTGCCAAGATTGAGCTGAAAAAGCAATCCTGGCATATCAAAGGCTTTTAAAATTTGTAACTGGACAAGTTCTCATTTTAAAATACCCATCATGATGAAGAGATATGTAAAGTATCTTACAGAAAAGAAATTCACTGAATTACGCCAAGCTATTTTAAGCAATTGATAAAAGCACTGTACTTTAACTATCTGCTTTTTAAGATCACCTTGTGTTACCTAGGATTCCAACGCTGTTTTCACAGAATTCAGTGAGAACAAAAATACAAGAACATACAAAGAATAATAATTTAGGTAGATAGCCTCAAAGCAGGTATAGGAGGTCACAACATATTTCTAAGAAAAAACTTGCATGCTAAGAAAAGTGCATAAGGAAAAAAAAAAGGCATGCTTTTGAAACACAACTAGACAGACAAAATATAGAAAATCATACATAAATAACACAAATAAAAACACAAAGTCAACTCAGACAAACATAGAGAGTGCTATTCTTTTCTTCAAGCACACTCAGAAAGCTTACCTGCAAATATTTTTAATGAGAAAATAAATAAAAATCCATTGACAAATTGAATACTGTCTACTGAAGATCTCTGTTACATTACTGTAGAGGATATGATTAGCTGTGCTGACAGCACAGTCTCATTCTCGTACAGATGGGTACCACCATTAGGCAGAGTGTTAGGTAAACATTGTAATCTTCTCCTCAAATTAGATCATTATGTTCATACTGACTTAGGAATGTACAGAGAGTCAATATCAGAAAATGTTTCAGAATGAGTATTTGATTGGGAAAACGAGAGGAACAGCTAACACACTTTCTTAAAGGTTTGGGAAAGGTTTGCATTTGGCTCTACCTGAGTATATGAATTATTGTAAATAAGTATATATATTATTATTTGTAGTGAAAGGAGGAAATGGAGGGTCAGATCAATGTGAGCTGGGTCAAGTCTTAACCACAGTAAACGCCGTCTCAGATATTCTGTTATCAAGACTATTTTACAACATCCAGCGCTAAGCACACGTACAAGACTTTGGAGTCTGGTTTCTGTGGAAATTTAGAGAACTCACAAGCGTTATGCGTTAAAAATCCAAGCAGCTAAACCATATATGTAAGGCCTCCTAAAGCAGCAGCTCTTCGTTTTACCTGGCTCCACATGTATGTGTTGTAGAGTGCTCTCAGCATATCAGGCCTCAGAATTTCATTACAGCCTTGTTTCAGCAACATCTTGGCAAAGGACTTATATTTTTTCTGTGCGTGCAAATGGCAACGAAGCACAAAAGAGACTTATGAAGAACATGAACAACAGCACAGCTCTAGATCCCAGTCACTTTTAGAGTGGAGAGATTTAGGCAAGATACTGTATGTTTTCATTCAGATGTGCATACAACTTACATCTGTATAATTAAGAACAGCAAGTTCTTAAAAGTCCCATTAAGGAAATAGTGGAAATATTTGGGGGGATATTGGAGTAAATTACAGATTAAAGTAAAGGCATTCAAAAGCAATATATGGCACTGTTGCTTTATCTAAAAATGAGTAAGAAAATAATCTTTGTAAAAGTTGCTAACAGAGAGGCAATAAAAAAATGCATGATAAAACATCCATTTTTTAAAACCTCTCCATTGATTTCAAATAGGCATTAGATGAGAACCTACTTGAAGACTATGTCAGTTGATGCACAATATATGAAAGCACATACGGTATCCATTAGCTCACTCAAAAAGTAGTAACACTTTTTGGGTGGCAAAACAGAGACTATCTGATCAACTGAACTAAAATATCACAATATCACAGGTGAGACCTATGATACTGCCATTATAGACATCTTAGGCAGGCAAAGATAGTAGCTGTGAGTGAACCAGGCACTTTCTGGCAGAACTGGCCAGCGTTCCCACAGTACCTGACTGCTCAGGGTGGTTCCCCACTTGGCCAGGAGGTTCCTAGGATCATCCACAATAACGCTGTACCTATCTTTGAGCTTCTCATAGGCAGCTTTATATAATTTCTGCTCAGAATAGCATAATATATTGTAACAATGTAAAAGAAGAAAGTGAAGACACAAAGAGATCCCGAGATCATAGTTCTAACCACTGAAATATCAGTAAAAGCAACATTTCAATGCTGGGATTAAAGTCCACATCCAAAAGACAGAAATATAGAGGGGAAAAAAAACAGGAAAAAAGGGAGAGAAAATATGTCAAATCAATATATACATTTGTAAATCACTTCTGAAAGGCCTATTTTACAATTTAAGGATGCCTATATCTTATTCCTGCTGGTCTTCAACACACCAAACTTTTTCAAAAGGCTTTGCCCTGTAAAAGTACAGCATTACAACTAGAAACTTTCTTGGTGATTTATACCCAGAGGCATTTGTTACCCTTTTGCTAATACGTTGTCCTTATTTTCTCTTTAATCTACAGAAGAGAGCAAGTAAGTTAAGAGTGAGAGAATTCAAGGCAGACTATATATAATGGAACAAAGTTATGATAATTTGGATAAAATATTACCTTCCTAACACTGATGAAATTTTGTTTGGTATTTCCAGAAATGAAATGTAATTCTCTCTATACCTTTGCAATCAACAGTCAGTTTTTTCTCAACAGTTTCACTAAGCGAGTAGTGTCTTTTCAAGTAACATTTGTTTACTGGTCAGCAAAGAAATTTCTTTGCAATTTCACATTTTAAGTACTGTAAATCTGTTCTGAGCAACTACTCAGGTAGAAACCTCATTTTAGTCTGACCTTAAGACATTCATCCTTTAGCTCTCCTTGGGTCAAATAAAAAGCCTTTAACTCAGTGTTAACACTACTGAAGTCTTCTAATACTGACCTGATCCATCAACTTAGTGGCATATTTAAAATGTTGGTTAATTGGAGAGTCAGCTACATACTTAAAATGAGATTTAGTCTTCTCAAACATCTCCTTGTACTTGCACTAGAAGAAAAAAAAGAGAGAAAGAATGACAGAAAAAGAGAGAGAAGGAGAGAGAGAGAAGGAGAGAGAGAGAAGGAGAGAGAGAGAAGGAGAGAGAGAGAAGGAGAGAGAGAGAAGGAGAGAGAGAGAAGGAGAGAGAGAGAAGGAGAGAGAGAGAAGGAGAGAGAGGGGGCGAGAGAGAGGGGGCGAGAGAGAGGGGGCGAGAGAGAGGGAGAGGGAGATGTTACCAAATGTAAGGCAATGGAAATAGAGAGTTTGTAAAAACCATCTGAAGCAAAACTATAGTAGAATTAGTGCATGTATGTCTTTAGTATATTTATAAGCAAAAAATATTTTAGGTCAAAACAGCTGCAGAGAGATATAACTATCTTATTATGGAAGCAATGGAAGCTTCAAAGCTTCTTAACTATGAAGGTCAACTATGGAAATATTTCTACAGAACATATCTTACCAATGAACAGGGGGATAAGCAGATGATCATTTTGTCTCACATTTACAGCGAGCCGACTATTTTCAGATGTTATGTTCTATGTACTACCATTAGATATTCATATTCATTTCTTGATCAAAATTTGACTGGCTTTCTCTAAAGATGCAACTACAACATAAGCAAACTTTGAAGAAACACTTAGCAAGAACGCACACTGTCTTACTTACCCCACTGTAGAGCACCTTATTCTTCTCTGCCAGAGCAAAATCTGGAGTATCCCATGCGTAACAGCCAATGCCCCTGAGCCATGATAAGTCTTCCTTGTATTTAAACTTTAGAAAAGAAGTAAAAGGTTTCAGCCTTAAATGGCATTGAATGGTATCTGATCAGTACTAAAAAAAACATTTCAGCATAATTTGCAGCAAACAGCTGTGAAGTTATTATTACCGCATTATAAAATAAATTGTGAATACTTGATTTTTCTGATAGACTGGCACATATCTAATCCAGCATTAGTTATTTGAGCTCCTTCCTGAATTAAAAAACATCTATTTCTATACAATTAAGGGGTGCTTTATATCTCTTTAAAAAAAATCAACAGAATTACACTGGTTTAAATACAACCAAGCAAGGTCATCCAGAGTAAAACTCTTAATCTATGGCAATCAGCACTCCCATGATTTTACATGCCTCCCAGTGCACAGCCAGCAGTCTACACAAAACCAGAAATCTCAGGAAGAAACCTGTTGTTGTGTGTGTTTTTTTTTTCTTTTTCTCCCAGTGCTGCTAAGAATTTTACATATAACCCAAGTTTGTATTACAGCAAATACTGCTATTGAAATTAATGGAGCAGACTTAACTGGACTGCAATTTTAGCCATTTGATTTGCTCTGCCATTTCCCAGATCTGCCAGGCAAAAGTGTACATCACTTTCTCATTTCCACTGATAATGCATTGATTTTCTTAAGATCAATGGACTTTTTTTTTAATTTTGGAAAACTCCACTTAGGTTTCAGCATCTCAGATTCAGGAACTATTTGAACTCACATCACTAATAGCATCTGTGACTGCACGATGATGGAAATGATCTGGCCGGTCTGGAATAGATCTCCAGATTCCCAACTGACTCATGTAGTTTTCCTTATATTTCACCTACAAAAAAAGATGTAAAAAAATGAAGTAAAGCAATCTGAGAACAGAACACATCAACCATACAATTTTAAGACATCCCTTTTTCTGAAAGGCCATAACTAAAAATATGAGACTGTGTATTACCTGCATCTGTATCTTCTGAAGAAGGACAACATTTAATATTAATAGTACTAATTATGTATTTCTGATTGTTTGAAATAATTAAACAGAATAATAGTATAAATGGCATATTTTCAAATATTAATTGACAAAGAGAAATTAGGAAAAGAAATGTTGTATACATACACTGCTGATATCATCGGTGACCTTTCGATGATAAACAATATCCAAAGCATCTTTCACAGTGTGGTATTTCCCCTTTGTGTTCTCGAAGGTTTCTTTGTAGCGCAACTGGTAAGAAACATAACATATGAAAAAGAGATTATATTTACCTATCAGGAAATGTTTTAGTTAAACATCCTGTCTCTTAAGAATGACATCAAGGCGTATTGCCTAAAATCAATTTGACTTAGACTCACAGTGAAAATTGCCCATCAAAAGTAAAACCTATTTACTTTCAGACTGAAGAAAAACACCCATGCTACTTTCCAAAAGAATAAAAGCGCTGCATTACACACACACACACACAAAAAATGTCCTTTCCTCTATATCCACACACACACACACAAAAAAAAAAAGTCCTTTCCTCTATATCTCAGTCTAGAAGAAAACAGGAAGATCACAGGCTTAGAAAAATCTCTGAGGAGAAATCCAAATGTGCAAAAGAACTGGGACATTAATTTACAGAACTTAAAATCAATCTTAAGACAGCAATTGGACAAATCCACAGGCCAAAAACAGTGGCCCAGGACATGCCCATTCAGGCTTTTCTGGAGCTCCTGAGTAATATACAATATGAAATATACAGCAAAAGTCTCTTTAATGAGTAGTCTACTTTTAGCCATTGCCTTCAAGCATAAATCACTATTCCACACTCACAGGAGAAATTAATTTTGTCCTCAAATCCTTACCCGCTGCAAGTCAGATAAACTTTTTTCTCTAATCTACTTCTAGGTGAAAAATGAGTGAGTTGCCCCTGAGATACAAGTTTATTTCTCACACTTAACTGAGATAAAGATGTCTGACATATTCTGAAGTATTCTATTCTGGCCCCAGTATCAATCATTTCTCTCTGATCTGCTCTACTTGAGGATTTTATTTGTAAACAATTTGTTCTGAACCTATTTTTCCTTTGTCCTAAGTCCACACTTCCTTGCAAAAGAAAATTAAAAGAAATTATAAAGAAAGAAAGCATTACATTACAGTATCCTCAATCTAAAATTTACTAATCTCAGTAATATCTAATTGAAATACACCCATAAATGGAATGACCCAAGTGCAGGACCCACTTGGACCAAGATATTCTGCTGTTTGCATGAATTCTACCTATTGTTCCTTTTTCTTCAAAAACAAACAAAAACCCCACAAAAACGAAGAAAAAGAAATAAAAAAGCAAGCAAAAGTGTTCATGGGCTACATACATCACTAGCATTCAGGTATGCTCTCTTGGCTCTGATCAAGACTGGAGTGTCAGGGACAGGTGTGTATTTGTCTTTCATCTTCTCATACTGGGTTTTATATTTTTTCTAAGGAGAGACAACAAGATAGAGAAGTTAGTTTAGCCTCAAAAGTATTTGTTAAACTGTAAGTATGGTAAGGTGCTACACTGAATGCACAAAGATGGCACTCCTGCAAAGTGCTTTTATCAAAACACTGGGATATAAGATCAGCTTTTCAGCTACTTCTTCTGAGTCTCACAGCCCATATCCCTTCGACTCTGCAAAAAGCTCTTAAAAAGTCTTATAAAATACTGAAACATGTAAAAATGTGTATTGGTTTAGCAAGTTAGCATAGGAAATGTGGAATTTAAGCACAAGAGGCACAAAACCAAAGAGCAAACAAGATTTGAGCCTTGAATCTATCACTAGAAATAGAAATAAAATTTCTAAACAGCATAATGGTATCAAATAAAAGAGCAGAAATCTTACCTCACTAATCATATCCTTTACATGCCTAGCATGGGTAAAAGCTGGAGTCTGACCACCAGCATGGTGATGGGGTCTCTCTTTCGTGGCAAGCTCCACATACAAATACTGCAGTGAGAAGAGAAGAACACATTTCAAGTAAATTTTACTTTATCCCTTGAAAACTGATTTTGACAATGCATCCATAATCACATAATTTACCCCAGGAGAAAGTTCCTGTGACCTTTCTCCATCTACATTCTCTCTGTTTATCTTTCTCTATCAGTACGCTTGATATTTTCTAAATGACAACAACACACTCAAAAATCAAAATGTCATATGCATGTGGCATTAGTGACCTCTCTGCCCTGCATCCAGACCTAACTTCAGATAAAACTGTGCATGGTATGTGTTTCTCTCTGGCAGGTAACGAACAAAATTTGTAGACGCAAATCAGCTAAAAAGTCTTACATAAACAAAGAAGTGATGATGAGTAGAAAAAAATATGAATAAAAGTGTTTATTTCTCTGAGAAAGTCAAAATCTCAGAGTATTTGAATAAAACTGTGACAGGGCTCAGTGTTCTATTTCAGATAGATAAAGCTGGACAAGTCCATTATAGAGATGTGACCATTTGGAAATAAAGAACAGCCATTTTTAAAAGTACTTTTAGGAATTATATATTGTTTTGAAATGGCCTGGAAAATTTTTACTATACTTTAACAAAATATTAAGAGAGACACCTCCCACTCCCCACACCAGGATGTTTTCTCTCAGTAAAAATTTGTCACCTGGCTCTGTATTTTTTGTCCTTGCTTGGCTCTTAAGTTATCAGGTGTATCAAGGAGGGAAGTATACTTTGTCTTCAGCTCCTTGCCTGCAGCTCTGTAAACCAGCTGGAAAAAAACAAGTCTATTAATTCTTTCTGTTACAGATGTTCATTTAGCTAAACAATCACACCTTTGCATCCCATACTTTTGAAGAAAGCCAGTGAGAGGATCTGAGCATTTAATTGTAACTTACAAAGATGGACAAAAATAATACAGAACTTACATCACTCAAATGTGTTTTTAACTCTTGAACTGTCCTGTATTCAGGAGTATCCAGCACCACACTGTATTTATCCCGCATCTTCTTTGCATTCTCAGTGTATACATAATTTGACTGAAAAATAAAAGCAGTATCATTTAGGGATCTGTCATTACTCTTGGACATAAAAGAATTATATTCTTCTTCTAGTACTTTGAAGCAACTATTTAGTTGCATGGCAAGAAATGTTGCTACAGGTCTTTACTTATTTGTAGGGATTTAATTTCTCCTAAGTACTTATCATGCACTTCAGTAAATCAATAATGTATTATATATGTTTTTCAGAAGAAAAATCTCACCCAAAGTTTGCGCAGCTCACGAGAACGGACCATATCAGGAGTATCATACAGGAAGCAACCTAAGCCCTTCAACCACATCAGATCCTCTTTGTATTTATTCTATATGGAAGGTAAAAGAAGAGAAATCAGAAGTTAACTGTTGGGATCACTAATTCCAGGTGTTGGGAATGATCAAATATCAGTCCCCAAACACAGTTACAAAGTCTTTATTAAAGAACAGAATGCAAATAAAGAGTCATATTCAGCTCCCACTGGCATGTGAACATATATGAGCAGAAAAGAATTAGACCTGTTCCAATCAGGTACTGGTATGTAAACAGAAGCTGCTTACATCACTTGTGATGTCCCCAACATAGCGGCAGTGCAGCAGCTGAGGTGTGTATGGCAGGGAAATCAAGTGTCCCTGCATCCTAAAGAAATCCGACTTGTAGATTTGCTGAAAGAGAAAGAAAAAAATAACATTTCACACATTTGATCATGTTGCATATTCTAAATCTCTTCAATTTTAAAATGTTATAAAGACATACATCACTGACAGCTTCCTGTGTAGCTTTGACTTGCCGGATTTCAGGTGTGTCAGGAGTGGTATGAATCTTGTCCTTGTACTTGTGGTATGTCGCCCGATACAATCTCTGTACCAAAGGAGACAGCATTCTACATGTTAAAACATGAACACTTAAAACAACGAGTGGGTTGGCAAAATGAAAGTACTTTTCTCTTTAGTACTTAGCACTTCGTTCTGCAGGGCATTTTTTACAGTGGTATATCCAATATATATGAAATCTGAAATTCTGTCCCACAAACATTTAAACGCACATGTATAACTTCCACCCTGCTGAAGTCAATGACCAAGCAAATGAGTACACATCTATAGTTTATAGACCTAAAAGTATACAGACCCACTGGCATAAAGATACAATAATTTGTATGTAACTTTGATCAAATAGCAGCAGAATGGTTAGTTACGTTACTATTAATTTTATATTACAGTAATAGTTTTATAAGGAGTATAAACTTTTGAGCTTTTAAGAAGCTCAAAAAGGCGTGCAGATCAACTCCAAGTTTGGATCAGGCATCCCTTGCCATTCTTTACATATATATTTACTGTACCTCATTAACAACTTGATTCACTTTCTTTACATTTTCAAAGTTGACATCTTTAGGTCCCAGAGTATAGCCCTTAGCTTTCATGTGTTCATAGGCTTCTTTGTATTTCAGCTATAAAGTGGAAAAAGGAATTTTTTGATAAAAGAAAAACATAAAAAAGTTAAATTTGCTTGTGATTTTATTTACATTGTAGTTCTGGAACTAATTTATGCGGTATAAAGAACAAATTTTTAGAGACACTCAAGTGAGATTTAGCTGTATCAGAGTCTTTAAAATACTCAGGCATCATCATTATTTTTACCCTTATAATGTAGTCCAAGGTAAATATTTTGATTTTTTTCTGTATCTAATATTAGCAGCTTAGGAAAATTATATTTTGAAAATAATTTATTCAGGTAACTGTGGAGTAACATTTAAATTCTGTTAAGACAAACATAACCAAAGGCAGGGCCTGGAGTGCACTAACAGGCCAGGCCTTAATTGCCTTGCTCAGTCTAACCAGGGACCTCAGTCCTTGCCTGCTCTATGTTGCAAATGTATCTACACCGCAGCCCTGTCTCTGGCCTCATTTCCTGGATGGGTGTTGGACCTGCATTTTAGCTAGTTTGCCTCTAATCATGGTTCTAACACCGTCCATATCTTGGACCTTGCATCCTTATTTCCCATTTTATCTCTGGCCCTATTTCCTGCAGCTCTGGATCCCCCTGGATGGCTCCTGGACCTGGTTCCTCACCTACTTTGCCTAGGACTGTTATCAGCGCCCTGCTCTGCCCAGTATCTGCTGGATGCACCCTGGTTGGTGAGGATACTGCCTGTGCCTTGGGCACCCTCAGCTCATCCACCAACGTGGAACTATCCTGCTTGTATTTCTCTCTGACACTCAGTCTCATATCTGAGAAATAACCACCTCAAACAATTGTACTCAATACAAAATCTCCCTTGCAAATATTCCTTGCAATATTCTCTTGCAAATCATGTTGTAGAAGGACATTACTTACATCACTGCCAATGTACTGGACATGTTTAGCATGCTGAAAGCTTGGGGTGTCTTTAGGAAGACTGTATCCAGTAGGCAGAGCTTTCAAACCAGCCCAGCGATACAAATTCTGCAAGGAGAGAGGGTTTATGACAATCACGTGAAATATTTGAAACTACTCAATAGCTGTATGGGAAATATTTACAATTGGCAAAATATTTCCCAAATGTCTACATTATTGTATATCCAATATCCAAATTGGAGAGTGGATTAGAATAAATGAAGACATCTTCCCACTTCAATTTTAAAGCTTCTTGCTTCTTTATCTGAAAAGCTACAAAAAGACATTAATTTTTAAATAATTTGCTTCTTGAATACAAGAGAAGTCTTCGCAAGTGGACTTGCAAAAATGGAGAGATCCAGAAAAACTAGGAACTAGCATCAATCACACAGGATAAAAATGTGCCTTGCTTTTGGTGTCCAGTTAGGAATAGAATTTTTATACTTACTTCACTCTGTATTTGGTGTGCATGCTTTGCCCGATCCAAATCTACTGTTTTATTGGTAGGAGTCATTTTGCCTCTGATATTTTGCAAATATTCACCACGATAGATAGTCTGAGAAAGGGAAAAAAAATATGGGAGAGTCATAATAGCTGTTGTTTCTCATAGTATATATTATTTACACACCTATGGGAATCTCTTTCAAAAAAAAAATGACAGTTTTTCTTATTTGGGCAATTTACTGACTGTATTGATTGTGTTCTGTCTCATAATAATGGCACAGGCAATGAGTTGTAGGTTTCAGCAAGAAATAATTAAAATATTAAATGTTACTTTTCTGGAACTTCTAAGGTAATGGCATACATAATACTAATAATAATGGCACAGGCAATGAGTTGTATGTTCCAGCAAGAAATAATTAAAAATATTAAACGTTACTTTTCTGGAACTTCTAAGCTAATGGCATACGTAATACTGCAGATGAGATGTGATACAAACACTTACTTCACTCAAATTCATGCCACTGAGGATATTCTGGACATAGACAGGAGTGTCCATGACCACAGTGTAGTGATTCTTCATTTTCTCTGCATTAGATTTGTACTTAATCTGCAGAAAGAAATTCAAAAGCTCCTATTAGTAGGACTAGACATAGTAGGACTAGACATTGTTAAGTACTTCAGTAGAGAAATACATATAACATTTTTGCAAATTGTATTTGCAGCAGATAAAACATTCACTATTTTCACATTATCCATCATTTTAATACAATAGATAAAAAAACTAAGAAGCAGAACTAGTGCAACCAGCTGTGACTCACATCACTGCGAAGGTCGTATGCGTGCTTGGCATGGAGAATTTCAGGAGTGTCCCAGACAAAGCAGCCAATGCCTTTCAGCCAGTTGAGATCATCCTTATACACCACCTACAATATAAGAACAAAGAAACAATCAGGAGAGAGACTTCCAGTATGATCAAATCCCTTATAGCTAAGGTGAGTCTAAACACAACCATCGACAGCAAACAAGGTTTCTAGTGCGTTGACTTTCTTTTGGTTTGAAAAAAAACTTATAGCTAAGGTGAGTCTAAACACAAGCAAGGTTTCTAGTACTTTGACTTTCTTTGGGTTTGAAAAAAATCACAGCAATTACTTTGAAGTGACTTACCTCAATGTTTCTTCAATGTTTCAGTTTGACTAATGAATAAAAACATCTCAATGATTTTTAAAAAATTATTTGCATATCTTACAGGCAACTCTTTACTGATAGATCAACAAGCTACTCTTGGGTCAACCTATGCTGGGGTGAGCATGTGGAAGTCTTGCATCAGCAGAATTTTGTCTTTAACTTCCAGATTGTCCCTGCTTGAGCAGCGGCTTTAGATTAGATGATCTCTAGAGGTCTCTTCCAACCTCAACCCTTCTGTGATTCTGTGAGTTTCCACAGCTTATGAAACCAAATGATAATGGACAATGTACACACAGAGATGGGTGAACTGTGATGTTACAGACCACTGCCTGTATAGGTAACTTTGAAATTATGCAGGCTTAGCCATATCTCAGCTGAATATTTATTGCCAAGTATTACAACTCATGCTAAAGGTGCAGTTTTGTGGTAGTGTTTGAGTATAATTTAATACCTACATGTGCCAATCTCAAAACACTCTGAGTTTTTTCAAATTCATTTTCTCTAACAGAGCATAAATTAAAAAAATGGTTTTAAAAGTGAGCCATAAATATATTATTTGTGTACTTACATCACTAAGCTGATCAGTGACTTTTCGAACATGGGCATTGATTTGAAGGTCTGGTAGACAAATCCACTCGTGAAGGTGTGTGCGGTAATCAACTTCACTGATTTTCTTCTGTGCATCTTTGGCAGAAATTATGTCTACCATGTCTGGAATAATGTGGATTTTGGTTTTATTCTTTTCATAGACTTCCTTGTACAGGCGCTGCAGAGTATAAACAATACATTAATGATACTGGAAAATACTCAAAGCACTCACTATTTACAAATACATGCTGACAAATTTTGCTGAAGCAAAAAATGCCATTTTCACGGAATGGTTGTTGAAAAGCAATCACTATGACTAAAATTCAATATTTGCTTGCTTAAAAAAAATCTAAAAGCAATTTGAAGATAGGGAACTTCACAGCCTCTCATACTTACTAATGATTGCTAAAATAAGATTTGTCAATTTTTCATGGGACTCATGTAAACTAAACAGTATCCTGTTTTACACATACTCATGTTACATTAAACATCTGCTTAGTGTGCAGATGATTTAACAGCTGAGTCAGAAACTTGAAAAAATACACTCAGAAGTGTAATACAGAATTTAACAAACACTGCCAAATACATATTGAAATATGCTATCTGGGTGAATAAATGTGGTTCTTTGAATATTCTCTTCTAAGATAAGCACAACTTTCTGAGGAAAGCATACATGAGAAAATACTTACATCAATGTTAAGCTTTCCAACTCTCAGGCACCTTGCTGTGTTGGGATCATCCTCAACACTTTTGGGTAATGTGTACAGTGCTTTAAACTTGTCATATTCTTCCCGGTATTTTACCTATGCACATGCAAAGAAGGGCAACAAAGTAACTTACTCCAAATGAAATAACTGCATTTTTGAAACCAAATTCATCAGTGAGCAGTAAAGCTCAAATTATCTGAGAAAGGCAAAGAAAGCTCTTCAGAGCATGATTTTAGTTTCCTATTTTACTTTAAACTGCAAAGAAAACATGCCATAACTATGCTATAAAAATAGTAATAGATGCCTGGAGATGTTTAAATAAAAAAGTGGAAATAAACTACTTATTTATTGTTCCAGCTCCTTCATTTAAAGATATCCATGAAGACAGTGATCTCTTACAAGCCTCTGTTTATTAAAGCATATGTTTCATTAATCTGTACTCAGAAAAGCATCATTTAAGGAAATACATAAAATTTAATGCTTTCTGTGACCTGGATATTTGCGAAACTTAGACCTTAAAAAACACAACCAGTAATTTTCAAGAAATGATTTCTGTTACTATAGAATGTGGATTTTTCCACCATGTAAAGAGGAAGCAAAGGACTACTGTTATCCAAACAATTATCACAGAAAATCCTCTATCCACAGATACACATGATACTTAAAATTAAATACAGAAGATAACTTGAAGAAACTTTTGGATACCTATGGTATATTCAAGGCACGAAGGATTTCTTTGCCAGAAATGATGATCTGATTAAAAATACCAAAGTACTTAATTCACTTACTGTACTAGCATTATGCTTCAGTTCTTTTGCACGTGCTAAGGAGACTGCATCAGAGGGCAAAATATAGCCAGTAGCTTTCACTTTATCCCAGGCTTCCTTGTAGAGATTCTACGGAGAAATAAAGTCTTTGTGAGTTTGAAAAATTCTTCTGAATACAATAGAAATCAAAAGTCCTCCTATTTTTATTTAGACGCCAACAAGAGACTAATTTACTTGTTTAGGATAATCTCCTACCAGACTTACAAGAATACATGAAGGGTGACAAAAGGCCACTTACATATTTTTATTCAATCTCATGAAAGAAGCGGCCTTGTTTCTGGTACAATTTTCTTCGGGGAATACATTTATTAATGCACGCATTTTGGCAAGGCTTGAACTATAGATAGGAAATCTGCCCTTTCTACGAAATGCAATACCAGCACCTTCACCACACCGAAGCAAAGCAGAAGGCTATCACTGGCTTTAATAAGCTCTGTGTCTGGCAGCTTATCTTCAAGCAAAATGAACAAATAAAATAAAAGCCCCCTACACTTACACACTGAAGAGAAACAAAGAAAAAGAAAAATTCAAAACACTTACATTGCTAAAAAGATGTTTCAAATTTTGGACCCTTTCAGAATCCGCTGTTTCAGTCACAGTTGTGTACTTGTCCTTAGTTTTGTGGTAATCTGCTTTGTATATCACCTGCGGAGTGAAAGACAGATTTAGTGAACTTGCTTTTTCCCTTGCTCCTTCTAAGAATGGAAACATGACGAAGAAAATGAGGAGACTCACATCACTAGCATTCATACCACTCTGCACTGCAGTCACATAAACAGGTGTATCAGTAACAACACCAAAATTCCGAAAATTCTCTTTTCCTGCAGCTGTGTATTTTATCTAGGGAAACAAACAAACAGACAAAACATTAATGATAAAAAAGACAAAGAAATTATCTGTCATCTTCCTTGAAAACCAACCAGTTCTGAAGAACTGAAGTACCAGGATTACAACCCAGTCAAGACCATTCTTGAAGGTGATAGGCAATGCAGAAATATTGAATATATAACAAGTTTGGACTGAAGCATCCTGAAAAATTACATGATATCACTATATAGCATGTAGCAGGCTAGAAAAAATATTGAAAAATATTGAAAATATTGAAAAAACATTTCTGATGTAATAGGAATTAGATCATTCTGCTCCAGACTAGGAGAAACATCATTCCCAGAAAATAATAAATGGAAAACAAATCTTACAGGTATTTACTTATTTGAGGAAAATATGCTTACTTGGCTCTGGAGGTCATATGATTTTTTAGCATGCAGGATTTGTGGAGTATCCCAGACATAGCATCCAATTCCCTTCAGCCAGTTTAAGTCATCTTTATATATCACCTGCATGAGGGAAACAGACTTATCAGTTCAGAAGATAATTCCTCTGTTTAAAGAAAGTAGAGTATATTTCTTCTCTCCTTGTAGTATTCTCTGGTGCAAAGGCAAAGCAGAAGATTACTACTGAATCTGATCCAAGCTCATTCGGTGACTACAAACCATTTGGACATTTACACGCAGGAACAAGAACACTAATCTCACAGTTAACCTGAGTGATTGTTTTTCCTACAAAATTTACAAGTGAAACTAAACCAAATAAGCAGAGCATTAAAATGCTCCAAAGAAAACTGTAAAAAAAGTAATTTTGCTACTATGTCTGCTGTACACTCTAGGAACATGGTTAATAATTTCAAATACTTTGAAAATACTTGAAAGTATTTCATGTTTAAATACCTTCAGAAAACAACATAAAACAGTAGTAAAATGTTAAATGAAATTTCATACATACATCACTCAGAATCTCCTGGGCCCTTCTGGCTTGAATAACATCGTGTTCTTCGGGTGAACAATTCCAGTGATGAAAGTAGGTTCGGTATTCTAGATCACTGAGAATATATTGGCATTTTTTAGCTAGCACATGATTCATCATGTCACTTGGAATATGGACATTTTTTTTGGTATCTTCATAATTCTTTCTGTATGCCAACTAAAAAAGAATAGATTGGGGAGAAAGCAAGAACAAATAATGTTTTTTTCTCACAGGAATGTTTTTCTCTAACAGGATACAGGTTAATAGTCTGAGGCATTCTTTATGGAATTAATGGATGGACTCTCATAGGCTTCAGTAGAAGGAAATGTTAACTTAGAGGACTTAGTAATTAACCACCATTTATTCTAATGGGATGCTACAATGACAAGAATGATCTTCTTCACTTGCAGACTAGATAGCTGATGTGAAAATTTCTCAGACTTCAATATAAAAGAAGTCAAAACGTGGTTTTAGTGTAGTGAAATCTGAGTGAATAAAGATATCTTCTGGGATCAGAATAACTTTATGCCCAGCACGACATGCTAAATGGGCAGCAATGCAGTGATGGTAACAGAGCATCCAATGTGCATTTACACTTCTAGTTCTTTACATTCTCTTTAAATACAAAGCTGAAACAAAACTGACAGTATTTTCTTATGAAGCAAAAGTATCCCAAGGCATATGGTACTTCTTACTGCTCAGATTCTTACAATCAAATAGATGAAAGTAGTTTTTTCCTATCTTAATATGTCTAACCACTGAATAATTTCCTTCTTCACGTCCTAAAGCATTTCAAGTTCCATTATGCAACCTAGGCACAAAATAAGCATACTACTATAATTCTTAAGTATGACATTATTTATGTTTAATATGAGTAACAGTAAAACACTGAAAAGAGAAAATACTAGAGGAAGAATAATTCTCTCCTTACCGCACTCCTCATTTTCTGGAATGCTAGTGAGTGAATGACACTGGGGAAGTCACCAATATCCTTTCCAGCCAGGTAATGGCCCTTCAGCTTCTCATATATTTCCTTATATTTAAGCTGCAAAATATTTATGTGGCAATGGTTAAGTTCATTCTGACAACACATAGCAAAAGAGAGAAAGAAAGGAAAATTCATACTAACCTCACTATTAATGTAATTTGCATGCTTAGCTCCAACAAGAGGAATGTATTTCTCATCCAAAGTATATCCAATGGGTTTACTGATTTCCCAAGCATTTTTATAAAGTTTCTAAGTGAACAAAACACATACAGGTTTTGAGAAAAAAATCATTATAGTTTCCAACAAATGTATTAATATTACAATCTTATTCAAACTAACAAAATATTTAAAGTCTGAATCTGCCATTTTTACTTGCATGGGATATGACTACTTTTATAGAGTAGTCTCTTGCTCCAAGAATGGCCCCAATAAAGTAAATGTAGAAAGTTCAGACTGTTTAGTGTCAGTAAGGGAACCAGAACTAGTGTGCCAACTCAGAAAAGGAATTTACTGTGAATGCTCTCCAAATTTGCTCTCTTTAATGATACCCTTGAATTTGACATTGCTCATCCAGAGTTTAACAAAAATATTCAAAACATAAATGCAAATTCTTCGTTTGAACAAATATGTTAAAAATTGTGAAAAATTCCTAATTACTTTCACTACTGTTTACTCTAACAGCATTTTCTATGTCACTGATTTCCTCAAAAATAATCATATATGCTAAATACTAAATATATTTACATGTAAATTAAACTATAAAGCCCCTATTCACAGTCATTACATTTTCAAAAACAGAGATTTCATAGTAAAATTAATGAGACTACTCACAAGTAACTGCTTAATACTGTAAATAATCTACAATTTTATCTTACCCAATATAAATGGAAATTTCATCAGTACTGTAGGGGGACATTATTAAATGGAATTATAAAGCATTTTTGTCACACAAATACTATTACTACTATAACTTCACAATGCCAAAGAGCGCTGCTATAAGATCAGGTCAGTAAAGAAAGAAACTCTCATTATCCCCATTATCCAAACTGGAAAAACTTGGAGAACAAAATCATTAAACGACTTTTCCGCTCTCACCCAGTAGATCAGTGACAGAACTAGAACACAGCTTTCTGCAGGCCAGTCCTGCAGTTCTTTTGTTTTCAAAAAACAAGCAAGCAAACATAAAACTTTAACAAATTTAACAAATCTTACATCACTATACAGTAAGGACATGTCTCTGGCATGGTTCAGTTCAGGAGTATCATCAGATCCAATGTACTGGCCTTTCTCCAGATTAAATGTTTCTTTGTACTTTAGCTAAAAAATAAAAAAAATAAAAAATAAAAAAATCAGATACTGTGTTAATTCCATGAAGAAGAGAAATAAAGTAGCCCAATCAGTCTATGAGAAGCAGACATTTATTTTTGGTTACACTGTCATATCTTCAGTTGTATCTTCCAACCGCTACAGTATGTAGGCAAATGCCATGAGCACATCATACCTGAAAGTCCACACAGTATGCCAGTGAAATTAAACATCCTGATGAGCACACATTAGTAGCACTGTCTTAAACTTAGCTATTGTTATTATTACATGTAAAATATACTGCAATTCATTATGAAAAAGGTTCAATTTTAAATGACTATAAGCACAATCTATGCAAATTCTAAATAAGGGATATCCTATATTCTTCTACAGAAAAAAATACAAAGTTATTTTGAATAGTAGTATTGTTATTTATTTTTATTACTTTTACTGTGAATCTTAATTACCCTAATAAGTCTATTATTAATGAAGCTTGCACATGCAAACATACATATATAACACTGCTTAATATATAATCTAGCAAAGGAATCAAGTCATTTACTAATTCTACTAATACAACAGTTTTCTATTAAAAAAATAAAAGTACATACATCACTCTGATTGATAGAGTTAATCTGTGCCAAAACAATCTCTGGAGTGTCAACCACACTTGTGTATTTGGAGAAGTTGTCAAGGGCTTCTTTTGTATATGCTCTCTGCAAAGAGACGAAGTATTTCCTTAAATATTTTGCACGTGAAATAAGAGCTGATCACCAACTGCTATAATATTTTTTCTCACCTTGTTGATCAATTTTTGTGCATGCTTAACTTTCTTGTGTTCCACCGAATCCAGGGGAATCCAACCACAGCCTCGGAGCCATTCCAAATCAGATTTGTAAATATTCTGAACAGCAAAAAGAAATTGAAAGAAATTACTTAATCTAGGTGACGCTTTTCAGTCTTATGATGATATTATGTCTCATACATATCTTATGTATGATGGACAGTATGTTTAGTCTAAACAAGGTGTGTAGCACATAGCATGTACATAAAATCACTTACATCACTCTGCAGATCATAGGCCTTCCTTGCCTGAATACAGTCATTCTGGTCAGGATGACACGTCCATTGATGCAGGTATTGGCGGTAATCGACATCGCTGACCAAGGTCTGACATTCTTTGGCTGCCGTAACTGACATCATGTCCGCAGGAATGTGGATTTTGGATTTAGTTTTGTGATAATTTGATTTGTACAATCTGTCATTCTGGATCTCGCCAGCATGCTCAAACCACACCAGTTTGGGGTCGTCTCTCATAGTGGGAACTCCAACATAGTGACCTCTTTGTTTCACATAGTCAGCTTTGTATTTAAGCTGATGGAAGAGAGGAGAAATATGTAAAAATCAACACAATTATGTCTACTTTTTTAAAAAAAACAGTGAAAAGCTATGTTTTTGTCAACAGAAAGGGCAGATTGAGATCTTGTTAGTGAGATGGGAACTTGCCAACTGCCATCTTAAGTTTTCAGTACATGACCAAATAAAAATGTTATGATACAAAGAGTAACGTTAAGCCGCAATCTTCAGCTTAAAAATACATTATTTTCTAGATTAACATGCTACCATTTTTAGTAAGCAGTTTTTTTTAACACAAGAGGAAAGCCTTGATAGAAAAAATACACTTAACACTAACATCTGCAGCAAATTTTTCTAACAGATTACTTGAGATTGTCTAAAGACTGGCAGTTCATTGAAAGTACTGAATTTGCAAGGCTTTTAACCTTCCAAGGCTTCCAAGCATTCCCTTCCTACTGGGAGGAGAAAAAGTTATTACCTCGCTTTGGACATCATTTGAGTGCTTGGCATGACATATCTGCACAGTGTCAGGAGGTAAGAGATAACCAGTGGCTTTTTCTTTTTCCCAACTTTCCTTGTACAAATGCTGTGGAAAATAAAAGTGAGAAGAAATTCACAACTACTATAATCATGGTTATTGCTGTGTATATGTGACTTATATTAATGTATATGAAAAATGAATTCTTCCATTAGGCTGTTCTTAGCAAGGCAAGTTTTGTAAGCTATCCTATAGAGCCACTACTGTGACTATAGATTGTCAGACTATTAAGGAAAGAACACACACCTGATTGAGATGTCTGGCTGCCTCTCGGGCCATATCTAGCTGTGGTGTATCGGTCAAAGTGTAGTTGGACTTGACCTGATTCCACTCTTTGTGGTATTTAATCTAGAACACAGAAAAGAATGATTGCAACATCATCATGACACTTGCAAAATATAGTATCAAGACCTAATAATGCAGAAAAATGAATTTTCAAGGCAATTAGATATGACATATCCAATATGCATCCAAATGGATATATTCATAAAAAGAAGTTATGCAAGAAAAGAAATTATAAAACTCGTCAGAGAAATGCTGAAAGCTTGTTCCACTATGGCTGGATGGATAGGGACGAATGCCCAGAAACCAAAATTATGCTGTTTGGTCTACTAAGATCTACAGCCAATAGCCCAGCTACAGCAAAAAGTGTTTGAAGCAGGACAGCAGATTTTGGGCATTTGAATCTCCTGGTTCTCTACTCAGCATGATATCTAAGTAAATGCAGCATTTTAGCACCTCCCAGCCACATACACATGCATGCGCGCACACACACACACACACTTCATGTCATATTTCCAAACACAGGACCAATGTTTGTGGGTGGTTGCACGGCAGCCTGCACTGTCTGTGTCATGCTTTTACCGGGATGTTTGACTTAATGTAAGTGTTCAGCTCGCCCTGTTCTCCAGTGGGAAGCATACTGAAAATAGGAAGCTGAGGGCAACTCATGTCATCTCATGATCACAGGCCAGCTACTCACAGGATAGTTCTCAAAAAGATATTAAGAAGGGCAAGATAATTGCACACCAGCTTTTCTCATGTTTACATAAGACAACACAATAATAACACAATACAGTAACACAATAGTAAGCTAAAAAGTGGGCAAATTCATATTGGTGTGAGTGAATGTTGGTTGCCAGAGTAGAAGCAGCTATATACACGCAGTCTTCCCTTGACAACAACACTAGTAGACACATTCACTAGCAAAACTGAAAGACAATCATACTGACATTACTAAAATTCACCACATTCTCAATCACCATCCGTGATATCAGCCAAGACTGAAAGAGGGCACTGATTGCAGAACTAGCAATGGCTTTTCACATGTCTAAGAACGATGCACTAGAATGTTATTCTATTTGAGTTTCTTGCCTAATAAGCCATGGAGCTAATACTGTCCCATTCATCTTAACCTCATACAGTCATAGAATTCCTGGAAACTGTTTCTAAACTCCTTTGTATTAAGCTTTTTTTTTTTCCTTCATAACAATAAAATCTTACAATGTAAACATGAAGATCAAGTTAACAGCCTGAAAATATGCCAGCAGACTTACATCACTAAGAATTTCACCACTATTCTTTGCTGTGATATAATCAACTCTGTCAGCCACGGGAGTAAAACGAAGAGTTTCAGCTTTTGTACGATACTTTTTCTGTGTAAGAGAAAAAAAAGATGAAATTACGATCAGATTAGAGTACTTAATAGCTAACACCGCAATTCTGAATATGGAGAGAAAAAAAGTAACACAAAAAACTACATGGAAAGAAAATCTCTACACTAAGACGCTGAACAGTAGAAATATTGCAGTTGTATTTTTATAATAAAAATAAATGAAATATTGATGTATTTAAGCATTAAAAACACTTAAAATTAAGAATACCCTTGAAAAAATGTTACTATTTTTTTACCTCATTCAAGAGGTCTCCAGCATGTTTGACATGGTTGAGCCCAACGGAGTCATTTGGCAACCATCCAATTCCACGCAGCCATTCTAAATCAGATTTGTAAATAGCCTGAGAAGACAAAATAGAGTCCATGTTGTCAGCCACATTCCCCTGTATGATCCAGCAATTCTCATAAATAATGACACTTATTTCCACTGCTTAAAAGGAAAGCAACACTTCCAATATCAGCACTACATCTAAATTCATCACACTTCAAACTTTCCAATAAATAACAGTGGTATACACTACATGTTCTTAATAAAACGCAAAGCCAGCTCTTAAGAAACTCAACAAAAGATTTCCACTGACGTCAGTTAGAACTGAAGCAGACCAATAAGAGACAAGCAAGGAGTAAGATAAACTAAGAATTTGTGCTAACTTACATCACTCTGAAGATCGTAGGCCTTCCTAGCATGCATGACATCATTTTGATCTGGGAGACAGATCCACTGATGCAAGTAATGACGGTAATCAACATCGCTGACTAAAGCCTGGCCATGCTTGGCTGACAGGATGGATAGCATGTCAGGTGGCAGGTGGCACTGTGTCTTCCATTTGGCAAAGTGCTTCTTGTACTCCAGTTCACTCTGAACCTTGCCTATACCAAGAGCAAACTTTATTTTTGTATCTGCTTTGGCGTTCGGAACTCCAACATAATGTCCTTTCTGTTTCTCGTGATCCAGTTTGTATTTATACTGGGGTAAAGAACAAAGATCACCATTACTAATACTTATCATGAAACAGCTCTTGGGAAGCTTGTGAAGAGCTAAATGCCTCTTTTTGCACTTACATCACTAGCGATTTCTCTGGAAGCTTTGGCTGCCTTGATTGGGATTGCATCTGCTCTCAAATCGTAACTCATCTTCATTTCATCCCAAGCTTCTTTGTACAGTTTCTGGAAAGACAGAAAAATGCCATGCTAAATAAATGACATTTGTTATAAATAAAATGCTTAACAAAATGATATTTGCTATTAAAGGAACACATAGGTTACTGCCATTTACTTGATGAATTACACATGATTTTGTTTTCCTCTTGCCCCCTGTCAAAAATACTGCTATAAATCTTACTCCCTTTCAAACATGTCTAGTACCTGTAACGCAGGTTCTGCAAGGGGGAGTGCACAGAGGGTGTCTGTATAAGCTTAGTAAATATTTATATGCCTTAGGTTTTCGTACAGTTCAACAAAATACTATGTTCATGATGCATTATATTAATCATTTTCAAATATCTGAATGCAAGAATTTGCTTTAAAATGTCTAAATACTGTAGAAAAGCTCAGCACCTGGATGGGAATGCTGCAAGCCCTGTATGAGGACTGACTTCAATGAGATCCATATAACTTTATCCACGAGTTCGTAAATAATTTCTTAGCAAGCTAAAATTCACAGAATATCATTTCATAAAAATGAAAGAAAACAGAATGATACACATACCTGGCTATAATGAAGAGCATTAGTCTTGGCTAGGTTGATTTCAGGGGTGTCTGCCATCATACGTATCATAGTCTTGTCCTTTTCCCAGGCTTCTTTATATTTTGTCTGTTAAAATAGTTCATTACATTATGAATATATAACTATATTCACTTGTCAGTAACATAAAAATCCATACATCTGTCTTGAATTATTATCTCTAAAAAATAAAATACCTAGACAAACCCTAAAATTGTCTTAAAATACAACTATTTGTTTGTGTATTTCAGCAGTGAGCTTTCTCCTTAATTCCTTATAGCCCTGAAAAAAAATAAAAAAATGTTGCTACGTACAATGCTGAGTTGTTCAGCATTAATTTTAGCTTGAACAACATCTGGAGAATCAACAACACTGGTGAATTTCACGCTGTCTATAGGTGTACGGTAGACTTTGTCGCTCAGGAGATCATGGGCATGCTTCACCCTCTTTAGAACAGGAGAATCATTTGGCAACCAACCAATTCCACGGAGCCATTCCAGATCTGACTTATAGATAGCCTGTATCAGAGATGATAATAAATAAATAAATAAAATTTTTAAAGATAAATCCTTCATCATTTCCAAGCCATGGCTTCCTAGGGCATACAGACAGTAACACAGTAGATAATATTATCAAAGTTTTTCAGAATTCAGAAAAAAAATCCATAATATCCAAAGGACACAAAGTCATATTAAGATAAATCCTTTGGAATCAAACAATGTAATGGAAAATAAAATACTTTAAAGAGTGAAAATAGTAGAGCAAGCAGTATTTCCCACATCTCTAAATATACGCACATCGCTCTGCAGGTCGTAGGCCTTCCTTGCATGGATCACGTCATTCTGGTCAGGCAGACACGTCCACTGGTGGAGGTAATGCCGGTAGTCGACATCACTGACTAGTGCCTGCCCTTCCTTGGCTGCCTGCAAGGACATCATGTCCACTGGGATGTGCACGTGGGACTTGGAATCGTTGTAGGCCTTGCGGTAGATTCGGTCGTTCTGCAGCTGCATCACGCGTGCAGCCCACGACAGCTTGGGGTCCTCCTTTGCAGTGCGGCACCCAATGTAGTGCCCCTTCTGCTTCTCATGCGTTTCCTTGTACTTGTACTGAGAAATGTAAAAGAAAAAAAATAGTCACATGCTTCTCATCGTAACATGCGTGACAGATCAGTGATTCTGCAAAAGCACGGCTGGCTTTGCTTACGGCATTGAAGCAGACACCTGCACACATTACACACGCACACCTCTGCACCAGCCACACCTCACAGCCTCACAAAGGGATAATTACAAAATCATGTGTAATTATTGCTGCTGTCTGACAGATAACACTTTGTTACTGAGCACTCCTAGTAACTTCACAAATACTTCACATAGAGCACTTGCCAGGAGGCCACTTCTAGCCTCTTTTGCAAGAGAAAGACGGACATGCTGAGCTCAGTTTCAAAATAACACAGGGACACAAAACACTGGACTGTTTCTAGCTCAGCTGAACACCTCTCAGTTTTGCTCAGTTTGACACACACACAGACACACAGAACAGAACTTTTCAGTAGGACTGTACCTCACTGGCGATGTCTCTGGAAGCCTTGGCATGCTTGATGGAAATGGCGTCAGCTCTTAGGTCATAGCCTTTCGCCTTGGCCTCGTCCCAGTCCCTCTGATAGTGTTTCTGGAATCAACATTAACCACACGGTTTACATCTAGTAGACACACTGGAATAGGGATTTGTTCTTTTTTTTCTTAAAGCCCATGGTCTTCTGTCTCTACTGCTTGGGTGGCTTGTTTGCCCCCCATAACTAAGA